TTTTTTTTTGTAGAACACATTTATCATAGGTGTCTTTAAGAACTGCCACTTGCGTGAATTTCAAAACTTACATCAGAATCAACTTTTTTTGAAAATCCATTTTCTAGCAACTTCTGGATGTGCCCTTGTATATAGTCTCTCAGCCACAAAGATTGTGCCCATGAAAGCAACTGATGAAAGTGCATAGGGAAGATGACAGACTAAAGGGACTGGGAGCAGAGCCACCCTTCACTGCAGGTGTCACTGAGGAGGAAGCCCAAGTCCCCTCGCCCCTCCACGAATCTGCAGTCTACATTACAGACAACAGCCACGGAATGTGGCAGTTCAAGCACCTGCCCATGTACCTGCACCTGCATTCCTGTCTTTAATAGGGGTAGGGCAGCAGATTACCCCTGGGAGCTGAGGGGAAGGCAGATAATGTCCGGTTAGGACAGTGGCTGAGCGCAGTCACGTCCAGTTGGGTCTCTCTTAAGCTAACTGCTTTGAGACAGCTGGTTCATTACATTTTCTAATGAAACAAAACATTTCAGGCTTTTGTTTTTGCTACATAAAATCCTTTCTAAATACTCCAGCACACAGTCCCACATCACTAATTCCATTCCTGAAATAAAATTCTCTTATTCAACAAGTATTTCTTGTGTATCTACAGTGTGCCAGACACCTTTCTGGGTTCTGGAGATTATCAGTGGGAAGAACAGGGCACTGACACTTGGTGGCAAGCTGCAGGGCAGACAGATGGTGAACAGGCAAATGATGATCAGTGCTGTCTGTGGGACTAGTAACAAGGCAGAGAGAATTGGGTTGGAGGTGGCAGCGGAGGAATGAGACAAGAAGGGTGGTCAAGAAAGACTACCTGGAGGAGGGAGCACATGAACAGAGTAGGAATGAAGGAAACAGACAGGTGAACACTAGTGGACGAAAGCTTCAGGCAAGGCTAACAGCCGGTGCAAAGGGCCTGAGGCAGAAGTGATGTCAGCAATGTGACATGACAACAAAATCAGAGATGAAGCTACACAGGTGCTCAGGGTTCTAAGTCTGGGTCTGATGGGTTTATGTGATTATTTGCAACTTGTGTTTAGTTCCCATCTACACATTTGCATGAAGTTATGTCTCCTGAGTTTTGCTTCTTGACATCACTTTTCTGATTATTGTGACCTAGTTTTCATTCCTTCTATTTTCTTTCACTTTCAGTAATTCCTATGTTAATGTCTTCATTTCTCAAATCTATGTAATCTCTTGAAGATCAAGGAGTAATTTCTAGGGATCTTTACATCTCCAGGAAATCTTATGCCTGCACATATGATGCATTCCTTGGGAGCGTACTGTTTGGAAAATCTGCATTGAATCTGGTCTGTGAAATCTATAGAAAGAAATCAACTCTTAGAGGACGCACATGAGATTTCCTTTGTGTTGGAGAGGCCTGGCAACTGGTGGCTTTGAACCTATAGATTTTGACTTCAAGATTTATTTTTCCCCAGCTAGAGATAACAAGTCCAGTGCACTCTCTGGAAATCTTGTACTCATATTATTGGCAATAGAAAACCTATTGCTGCTAATTATGTAATGACATGCTTAGTGATACAAAAATAAGGGGATTTAAAAATCATTTCTGTAGTGAATTAGCTTCTGTTAATGTTTTTAGATGTTTGCTCCATGCTTCTTAGTCCAAATAAAATGACTACCTTAAAATCATATTCATAAATAAATCTACCTAAATATGGGTATGTTTGAAATAGAACTAGCCTCCTAATACAGCAGCAACTGTGCCATCAGCATGCTGTCTGCAGCCTGGCAGAGTGGCAGCCAGCCAGCATATTATCCTGTAATCCGTGGCTGGTCTATCTCCTAAATGTTATAAATATTCATGTAAGCCATGGAGAGAGACGAAGGGCTCTATTCATACATTTTTTTGAATACTCCTCTATGTTGTCCCTAAATGAAAGAATGTCAGCCTCCTTTTTTTTTTTTGCATAAGGATCAAAATGTGAATTCTCTTTTGTTCATACCCATAAATCCTAAAAACTAATATACAGCAAATTCTCTCTCTAATCCTCGGTCATACCCCAAGGGTGAAGAAGTTCAAAATAAAAATACTCAGGGCTGGCATAGTGATTGTGCAATGCAGTCTTCCAAGAAAAGGCATCGGTGTTCCTGCCTACCATGTGAGTCCTGTCACTGGGGGCAGATGCACCTCTGGGGACAGAGCCCCACAAAAACTCTTTAGATCTTGAATTTATCTGGACAATAAGATGCTGGACTCTATACTTGGTATATGCTTGCAATGAAGGAATCTCAACTGAACTTGCACTGTGGTTATGCAACAAGGTGGAGGAATCCACCATGGGGGGAGGGTTAGAGGAGGGGTGAGGGGAATCCCAGTGCCTATATAACTGTGTCACATAATGCAATATGTAATTAATTAAAAAAAAACTCTTTAGATCTGATCACTACTTGGACCTTGCTGATGGATGATGGGGAGAAGTGGTTTGGGAACCAATTTAGAAAAGTAAAATGTGCTTTTTCCAAAGACACAGCAGTTAACTGTAGCCACTAAGGGTGCTGATGGTGTGATGGGGACAGAGATCTGGGCAGATCATGCTGGAAAGTGGGCATCAACACACCACACTGATCACAGTCGGGTTTAGGCAACATCAATCTTTATGAAATGTCATTTCATCTTCCAACGACATTTAACTGATGGAAAGGCAATTATGAAATCAAACTTTCTCATGGTAAATAAATTTGATAAAGCTGTGAAAGCAAAAAGAAACAACAAAACTCGTTCAATATCTTCACTCCTCTTGTCTTTCAGAGTAAGAAATCCCTCTAATTTTCAGCAGGGCATGTAGATACTCAAACAAAGGGCTACATTTTCAAGCCTCCCTTTCATGTGCCTACGTTCTGGCCAATAAAATGTGAGGCAAGTGCCCGAATAACCCTTTCCTTTCTCTGGGGCTGGATTGGGGACATGGTGGACCACCATCTTCGACCACATGGTTAGCAAAACAGCAAGAGTATGGCACCCAGGCAAACCTTGATTACGTCCCAGGGCTGACTCACATACCACACCTCCCTCTCAAGGCAGAAAGATATAAACTCATCTTGTTTTCCATCCCACAGATGTAGGCCTCCATGATTGCAGCTGTTCACTTGCCTTCAAGCAAAAGTAGCCTTTCCTTCCTCAAAGCCAGACTCAGAGGAACTTGCAGCCAAGGACAGCAAGTGCAGAAACAAGGGAGGGCACTGTCCTGGCATGCACTGAACGTGAATCCGGCCTTGAGTTTGCACATTACAGATTGGGACACCACCATCCAAAATCCACATGAGGCAACTTTTGGCTTCCCCAGCCAATGGCTAATTCTGCATCCTTTTGCTTTTGTTGTTTGTTCTGGCTGGTTCACAGTAGTGATGAGAAGGCCTGAAGCTCAGCCAATGCTTTCAGAAACCTTGGCTCCTCCATCTCTACACATACTTACCTTCATTTTATAACTCAAAGGTCGATTCAGTCACCTCACAGTCTGCTTTTCTGCCTAAATGACCCTGGGGATTCTTTATTCGTTAAATGTTTCACTTCTGAAAAACATGTTTTCTTTAGAAAAAGCAGGGATGTTGTTTGACGCTCCATACTAATACATGAGCCAAGATTTTTTAAACTGATGATACATTACTAAAGTGATGGAGTAACAGAGATGTGCACTCCCCTGCCTTTGATATGGGGAGGAAAACAGCAGAGGAAAACATTTGTCCTCTGGGCTAGGGTGTCTTTGATAAGTGTGCACTCATGCTAAGCAGCTTAAGACCTGGGACCTGGGGTCCAGCGAGAGCTGCACCTTTTACAAGGCTAGGCTCAAAAATCAGCTCACTCCCAAAGCTGAATGATGCTGATCCTCCTAGGATTAGCACAGGGTGTTTCACATTGCCCTGGACTCACACATGCCAGCTCCATTTCAAGAAAAAAATAATGGTTTCTGATAAGCATTGTTTAGCATGCCCTGGTTATATATCATTGAGCCCACCAATAACACACACACACACACACACACACACACACACACACACACACACACACATACACACAGATGGAGTGGGCATGAGTCCTATTTCCTGATGGAGAAAGTGACCCACAGAGAAATTAAGGAACAGCTACAAAGTGATAAAAACGAGAAATGAACCTCATGTCCCATGAATTCCTGGCCCTGGGTTTTTGCCACAGTGCCAGATGCTCGTGGCTAATCCTAACGTAGGAAAAGCTGCTCATCCACATAGAGATAAAGCACTGTACCGTTCCACACATCTAGGCTGTAGCCTGAAGACTCGGAATACCATGGGTCATTCCTTACCACACAATGTGTAGCTAAAGAAAGGGTCTGTGCGATTTGCCTTACTGCTTGACCTAAGACAAGATCAACTGCAAGGGAACCTGCCTCAGTACCACTGCCTTGTTTTGTTTCTTGTTCTGCAGTGATAGAGGCTGGACACAAAGGGTGCTTGCGTGTCAGTTCCATTCTGTCATTCTAGAAAGTTTTCCTTTTGGTTACACTGATGGTCAGGTTCGTCCTTTGTTTCCCTCTGTAACTTTCTCAGGAGAAATCCAGATGACTTGTCCATAGGAAAGAGCTGCTGTGGAGTTGCCTTTGGCTTAGACTCCCTGAAGTGGGGCTGGACAACTCATCATTTCAAAGGCCTCCTGGAGTAATCCACCTCCACAAACCTGACAACCAAACAACAACATGGAAGCCACTGTGCGACATTCGTGCATTTTAGCAACAGGCAGTCAAAGATGGAAATGCAGAGCGTCAAAGCTACTGCTGGGAGCCACAGCACAAAGGCTGTTGAATTTCACAAAAGGGAGCTGACTGGGACCAAATGTTTCAAAACTCCTTGATGTGTAACTACCTTTTGAACATGGCAGCACCTATGGAAATTATTTCCTTTATTAGTACAAATGCAAATTTCACTTAAAAAAAACATTGTGGTTAAAGTTATAATACTGCACATACCATTTTTTCAAAGTTTACTAGGTTGTCAGTGAACGTCTTGTTCCCCTCGTGAGTAAATGTCATATCTGTAAAGAAATAAAAGCCACATTCTAATCACGAGCCGAAATATGTCATACTAAGCAAGCACAATAGCACCATTAGATTATGCTGGTGGATTTGCATAACACTGCAGTAGAAAAAAATGTGGATAATAGTTCCTTTTATGTTAGGTGTTTAACTTTCTAAATCACTTCACCTGAGATTAGTAAAATTTCTAAGCTAACTCTCTGTTTTGCCAACCAGTCTTCCCAGTCCCAGATCCTCACTCCTACAACCAACCATCTTCTCAACCCTTTCAGAAAAGTCAGGGGTCAGAGGAGATAGCGAAGTGGAGATGGCTTGCATCACCCAAATAGTCAGCTGACCAGGGCATGGGTCCCTCTTCTTGCTCAGGTGTATACCACCTGCCAGGCAGTGCATCTTCCTGGGATTACCTTTAATGAGCAGAGGCATGAAGGGGATGAGAGGCGCCTCCAGCTTGGCCACCGTCAGCCTGTAGGCCCTGTGGTTTCTTGAAGGGTCCTTAGGAGAGACAAAGAGATGCTGGTTGATGCCCAGTCACTTATGAAACACCAGCAACCAGGTCTTCCTGGGTTAAGCGTGCCTACTGAAGAAATGTTGATTAAACCAAACAAAACAAATGTGTGTTAAAACAGGAGAGGTTCTCTTTGATGCCAGGATGAGCTGTGTCATAGCAACCTCAGCCAAGAGCTCCTTTCAACCTGAGGAGGCCCCACCTGCTCCATGAGCGGTTGGCTCACCCTGCTGTCTCTGCCCTGCATGGCCGGACATGTCTGCTGAAACTATCCGTTTCATGATTCCTAGTGGGCCCACTCACTTGGTTCCTGTCTGTGGACACCTCCCAATTAAAGGAAGAAAAATCATTTTTGGCAAAGCAGGGGAAAATGCAGCTTCCAAGGCTATCACTGAGCTGGGGTTGGAAGCAACGGCCCCCATTACACTGCTTTTCTTAGTTACACAAATTGACCTTATGCGGGACATAAGTCCTCCTTAAGTTAGTTCCGGTGGGTGTCATTCATTAGTCAGCCATGCTTGTTTTAGCAGCACACTAAAAAGGATCATAAACTTCTTAAAGTCAGACAAGGACAGATAAAATTTCCGAAATGAGAACTTCGATTCAGCTAATCAGAAATTGCATGAACGCAGACAGCGAACAGAATGAAGGAGCTACTGTCACTTACCATTAAACTTTCAAACTCGGCATAGAACTTCTTGAACTTGCTTGGCAGTTTCTGTTAATGAAATGAAAATGCCACATGGATATGTCAGGTTCAATTTCTAGATTTGTATTGTGAGTTACCACGTCTTGGGGACATGGATTTCTTTTGGCTGTTAATCACAACTCGGAGACAGGCGAGACTATAATGTGTCCTGTCACTTGAGAGAAGTCCTCTGGAATAAAGTGCACTTGCCTTTCAAAAGTCTTAATCTACTTGAACCAGAAGTAACTATGAAATCTCTGGTCTTTCTGCTTCTGTAAAGTTCTCTGAACTGAGGGATTCATAAAGAGGACTGCAGTGGGGGGGCTGGTGAAATGGCTCAGTGGCTAAATCCTTGCCCTGCACACAGCGGGATCCCATATGGGTGCTGGTTTGTGTCCTAGTAACTCCACTTCCCATTCAGCTGCCTGCTTGTGGCCTGGAAAAGTAGTGGAGGATGGCCTAAAACCTTGGGTCCCTGCACCCATGTGGGAGATCCAAAAGAAGCTCCTGGCTTCAAATTGGCTCAGCCCTGGTCGTTGTGGCCACTTGGGGAATGAGCCAGCAGATAGATCTTTCTCTCTGAATGTCTGCTTTTCCAATAAAAATAAATAAATCTTTAAAAAAGAAGACTGCAGTGTTCAGCACCCCAGCTATCTGCACTCTCTACCCTGTTCCCTCTTCTGTTTTGCAAACTTGCTGGCTCCAACAATCAGAAATTTAGTTCAGAGAAAAACAGAATGACAGGAGCTTCAGAAATTGTCTATTTCACTCCACGTGCTTACCAAGTGAGCTACATGTGAAGAGAGCTTTGTGTGAGGTGCGTGGAGTGTTGACTACATAGGACATCCCCAGTAAACATCTCTGGGACCACCTAACCTGAGTTGTACAGGTGGAAGAAATTCCATTTCAAGGTCATTTAAGTTTTATATTATTTATTTAGCTGAAAGGCAGAGTAGCGCATAAACACACACACACACACATCAGAGAGATCTTCCACCCCCGGTTCACTCCCCAAATGCAAACAAACCCAGGCTGAAGGTAGGAATCAGGAACCCAAGCTGGATGCCCTCATGGGTAGTAAGAACCCAAGCTGCTCAGGCACATTAGCAGGAAACTGAATCAGAAGTGGAGGCCAACTCCATCTTGGCCACTTTTAATGGGATGTGGGCCACTTTTACATGGGAGGTGGGCTCCTCCACAGCAGCTGACACCATGGCACCACAGTGCCTGCTCCAAGGCTCAAGTTTAAATGTCTGGTGCAAAGTCACACACTTATTATCATAAGAGCATGTGTAATTCACTCCATCTGACTCCTTTTCTAATGCCTCTCCTACACATTCTATGCTGCTGTAATTCAAAATTTGTAGACAAGGATAGATAAAATTATTTTCTCATGTCTGTATTTTGGTATATGATGCAATATTATTACTGCACCCATAGGACTACTCTCAGTAAGTCAATATTAAATTACCTTTCCACATACTGGCTTCCACCTTACTTAGGTTCTAACTTCCTAGAAAGTTAAACCTTTCTCTTCCAAAAGGAAGAAGCCAAGGTACAGCAGCATGGATAAGCTTCCCATGATGAGTCTGTATGCAGTGGCCAAGTCCAGAGTCTCCTGTCAGTTCTGCTTTGCACAGTGAAGTCTAACCTTCAGCCAGAGTAACCAGTGAGGCTCCTCCTCTACAGAAGCTCTTCTTTCCTCTCTCCATTCTGAATCCCTTTGTTATATTCCTGTATTCCTGCTTAGGACTCTTTTTTTTTTTAAAGGATTCATTTTCGATTTATTTGAAAGGCAAAGTTACAGAGAGAGGAAAAAAAACAGAGGGGGTGAGACGATAGAAACACACACACACACACACACACAGAAAGAGACAGAGAGAGAGAGAGAGAAAGAGAGAGAGAGAGAGAGAGAGCTTCTATCTACTGCTTCACTCTCCAAATGGCCACAATGGCCAGGCCTGGGCTAGGCTGAAGCTAGGAACCCAGAACTGCTTCTGGGTCTTTCATGTGGAGACAGAGGCCAACGTACTTAAATAATCTTCTGCAACTTTCCCAGATGCATTAATGGAGCTAGATCAGAAGTGGAGCAACTGGGTCTCAAACCAGCATCCATATCATTTGCAGGCATGCCATGCAGAGACTTAACCTGTTATGCCACAGCACCAAACCCTGAACGTTTTTTTTTTAAATCTTTACTAAGACCTATTTTGCTTCCAGCAACTATTCTATGATCTATCTTCCAAATGCATTTTTTATTCTGCTATGTTTACTTAGAAGTAGTCCAAAGACTTAAAGTTGGGTCAGCACGAAGGGGCAGTATATGATTCCATGTGAACCATCCACATCTCAGTGTTCAGCAGTGACTTGCCATGCACATCATCCATTCCAAAACTTAGACCTCTTTGGTCAGATGGAAATGCTCATGACCATTGGCCTTTTTTTGGTTTAAACTGTCATCTTATTTCTTTACTTAGCTTCTGCCAGGTCAAAGGAAGCAGGGCACATGGCAACCAGATTCCTGGGGTTCTCCATATGAGGTCTGTGCCCATCCCAGGCTTGGAGGACAGTGTTTTCCATGGGGGTCATTTTGTCAATCCAGGGAGCAGGTGCTGATGTACCTGGGGAAGCTGCTGAGGCTCCAACAGCACCCAGGATTGCCTTCCACCACAAATTTGGGCAAGGACTGGTTTGTTCAAATGTCAACAGGCACACACAAGGCCTGGGAGGTCTTGGTGTTGAACATCACTCTCTTTGCTTCATCTCAAGGTCATCTTTTCTGCCCTGAGCCCTTCCCTTGACCATGGGCCAAGCTTTGGCCTGTATTGTGTCCACGGACTGCTTCACACAGATCCTGGCATCCCTTGGGGTCAGGCACCATTCCTCACCACACTCCTGGACCACTGTGACACTTGGTTGGAGTTGTATGGGGGTTCCTTGAGAGGCTTTTGACAAATATAGACAGAGAAAGTCACTTCAGTGATGGTTGGCAGTGCAAGCCCTTTCAGCAGGAATATATAATTACACTTCACTTATACAAAAGAAAGGCTTATAAAAGATCGCTTTTTGGCAAAATACACCAATAGCAGTAGAAGTTTCTACATTCAGGGTGCTCCTACAACCACTGGAACCAGGGAACCAGGGACTGGTCAGTGAGCTATCTCCTTGCCTGGCCAGACACTTGCCAGTGAACTGTCTCCTTGCTTAACCAGGCACTGGCCAGGGAGCTGTCCTCTTGGCTGACCAGGCACTGGCCAGGGAGCTGTCCTCTTGGCTGACCAGGCACTGGCCAGGGAGCTGTCCTCTTGGCTGACCAGGCACTGGCCAGGGAGCTGTCCCCTTGGCTGACCAAGCACTTTTGCTGATGGCACCCTCTGCAGCTACTGCTTGCTCTCTTCAGATCTTGAGAAAGGACACAGATCGTGTTTGTCACACACTCTGCTCTTCGGGCTAACTGCTGTTCTATAATCCCCACACCTGCCTTCCTGGATCCCTATCAGATAGATCTAGGCCTTTTTTGATTTTCCCATCCAACTCATCTAGACTCGATCAGGAGCTGGGAGTGGAGGAGAGGTGGGAAGCAGACTGTTTACGAGAGAACCCTGCATCTCCAGAGATTCCAAAAGCCCAGGGTTCTATGACAGCGCAGCTGCACAATGACCGTGTGTCTCGGATGTCCTGGCGACTCTAGCCTTGTCCTTTGGCTTGCTGGAAGCTGATACAGCTGCATGGCATGCAGGCCTCACCACTTCCCTCATTCCTATATTCAGGGCATGAGCTGCTGTGTGCTGCATCTGCCTGGAATTTTAAGAGAAACCCAAGACAGAAGGACGTGTGAGGGCCTGCCCTACACATAATGGAAACAGTGAGGAGAGCTAGCAAAGGAAAATGCTTTCAAGAGGGAAGGGAGGAAGAACACAAGTTCAAGGGAAACATTCGGAAAAGCAAGCAGCTGCCTTCAAGCACCACCGCACACGAAGCGTCTCCAGGCCGTGCCTTGCTCTCTCCCTGGGTCCCGCTCAGCCTCCTTTATTTTTAGCATGAGGCTATTTTCGTGCAGATTTCCTATCAGAGATCAGTATTTCTTCAACTGTATGCCATGTGTAAGAGGTCCAGCACATTTTGACTACTGAGCTAATGATAAATGAAAGTGTTTTCTAGCTTGAATAACCAATTATCAACAAGCACTCATCCCAGGGGGGCATTTGTCACAGAAATCTGCAACACACCTGCATAACTTTTGCCCTGAACCTGAAAAGGAGCCGACTCCAGTTCCCTTCTGCAAGGGGGAAGGAACATCAGCTGGATGGTCCAGATACAGTCTGTATATAGCTGTGGCAGGCAGTTGGTCTCCTGGCCACTTATTCCAGGAGCAAAGTGATCACTCGGGTACAAATGGACTTTCTGGCTTCTTTCCATCACAGATAAAGTTCATTGCAAAAGCCAGAAAACAACAGAGTCTATAAGGTAAAATGCATTCAAAGCATCACTTTCCTTCTCGTTCATCAGGGGACTTGGACTTATTATTATTTACCGTGAGTAGATTGCAGAGCCCAGAATCACTCCTCTGCCTCACCTCATACAGAACAATGTCTTTTAGAATTCTCCCTCAGAGGAAACCAGCAAAAGGAGACAGCTCACCTCCCTCCGAGTGTCCCACGTTTTTCCATTGTTACATCAGTGTGAGTGAGAGTTCTATAAAGCTCACTGGTGAGCCTGTGTTTTTATTCTGAAGGCAAAAGTCACAGCTGGATCTCTGCTGCGGCTTACCTCCCACGTTAGCGCCAAACGGCTCACGGCCACGTTACTGAGTCCCATGACGATTGCAAAAAAGGAATTCAGATTCTTGTATTCCTTACAGCTGAAACATAAGAGGCACGGATTTGAGGAACATGCCACTATGTAGCAAGATTTAAAAAAAAAAAAAAGAGAGAGAGAGAGAGAGTTCTATTTTCTGATAGTCATTAATATTCGTCAGGACTCTTTTATGTGAATAGGCAATGATAGATTTAATGCATCACATAAGTTCCGCTTGGGTAACCGTGTTCTCCTGTTAGATTTCTCACTGTCATTTTTACCAAGTTGATGGTTTTGACCATTGAGGTTTGGGTTTTGAGAAGTAATTTAAACATCCCTCCCCTAGGGGTTGTTATCATCATCCCAAACTTGCTGGAAGTCTCACTGGACCGGCAAGGGAGCCTCTGGCGGGATGGGAAGAGTGGGCGTGACTTCCAACCCTCCATCCTGCAGATGGTAACCCTCCCCAGGCCCCTGGAGGGGGAACCAAGGAAGTCAGATTGTCACGGCTACCAGGCCTTCCAGCTGCTGAACACATGTTGCTACTTCCTTGAAAACTATCAATTTGCAACCTCTGGGCTGGGCACTGACTCTTAAGGAGCTGTGAAGCTGAGAAACAACCTATGTAACTGACAAAATCTCTGGGCTTTCCTGATATACTGAAGCTGATCATTTTGAATCTGTCCTTACACTACTCCTAGCTTGTATGAATATATGAGTAAGAGTGATACACATAGACTGAGACCAGAAATGCTGATTAGAATGGCAGTATTAGCCCAGGTAGTATGTTAACTTAAAAAAAAAAAAAAGGAATCGCCAGCTTCTTGACACCAGGTTCCTAAGAAGAGAGAAAATTCATTTTGCCAAAAGTACAGATCCTTTGTCCCTAATCCATGTGGTTCTCTAAACTGACCACATCATAATGAAATCCCATTTGGTAGGTTAACTGCATTTGTCACCCATGATCTCCTTACAAAGGTAGTAATAAGTAATCCTTAAATGATCTGTGCGGAAATGGGAGAGTATATTTCATAGACACTGCCATGGGTCTGCTCCCTCTCCTGAGAAAGCAAGCGAGGCCTTTGACATGTGTGTTTGCTTTTGTTCTGTGCACGTGACCTTGAAAAAATAAATGCAGGACTATGGATCTGGCTTTTTGGTCACTGCTTTGCTGCCAGCTCACTTCATCAACCCTGGGGAAGTCCTGACACTTCTCCATAGGCCTGGATCTCCTCATCCGTAAACAAAGGGACAATGACACCTGCTCCTCCCACTTCCCCTGACCCACCTGCTGCTGTCACAAATCTCTGGACAGGGTCAAGAGCGTGAACAGAATATGCTGAAGTCCCCTAAAGGCATTAAGTAAAGCAGACGCCACTGCCTCTTGATTTCCATCTCCCTCTCGTAGATCTGGGATTTGTGGAAGTCTACAATCTTCTCCAGCTGGGCTGTGTAAACAGCTCCACGCTAGGACAGTCAGCTCAGCGCAGGACTTAATCACGGTTAATCATATAAACCAATTTATACCGAAGGCCAAGTCCACCTAGTCCTTCACATAATCAGAAGGATGAAGGATAAGGAAAGGCGAAAACGTGAATAAACACAAAAACCCCTGGCTTTTCAAAAGGCTCTCCTGTGTTGCCCCAGGAAATTCACGGGATTAGGCTCCTGAAGATGTCCTGACCTCCCACATCTGCATACAGCTCACTTCTCTTTCCTCCTCCCAGCTGCCTTGGGCGCTGCCAAGACCACGGCGAAGAGAGAGAAAGCACATATTGTCATAGTTTCCATCATCAGCTCATTCCAAATCTGTGAGGGCCTGTGTCCTTGCAGTGAGCCTGCTCGGGCTCCTGGGGAAAGCCACTGCTCTCAGAACCAGGCATTCACTAACAGCATTTTACCCGATCTTTCCCCCAATGGCCAGTTTTTACAAAGGAAGAGATAGCTGCCTGTGAGCCTGAAACTATTGTTGGTCTTCTGTGCAACCTCAACTCTTTTGGCAAAATAACTCCATGCATGTGTCAAGCAGCCTTTACTTCTTTGTGTAGCCCCGTGTGGGGTGTGGACTGTTCAGTTCAGAAAGACCACCTTGCTAGGGTCCCCTGATACTCCCAACCTCCCCGTGCTCAGCTCCCTGCATGTAGAAAGGGAAGGAGTCTCCCAGCCACAGGCCGTATTTAGCATTTTATTTTTAGCACAGTAGTGATACCAAAAACATGGAAGTAAACAGGAGGTTGCCAGGCATACCTAAATAGCAGGAGAAGATTAAATTCATGTCAGGGAGCTAACTGGCCCCTGCAGTAAATAAATTGTTTCCCACGAAGTGCTGGTAAATAGAATATTTATAAGATGTTTGCTCTTCCTGATGTTCATGGAGATGATTTTCATGTGCCAGGTTACCTCGCCTTTCTGCACTGCACTGATTGGATTCTGGCTGAGGCGGATGTGCTGTGGTACACGCATGTTCCACTGCCCTCTACTGGCCAGAATGTGTCATACTGGACATAGAGTGAAACTTTTCTACCAGGGAGTTGTGGGGGCTCCAGGACTCTTCAAACGGAAGGAGGCAAAGAGGCTGTACAGCACAGAGCAAACAGAGGTCACAATTTTGACTCCAGCATCATCTCCACATGGGTGTCTAATATTACAAAAGCTTAAGGAAATTCATTTTTTTCCCCCACGAATTCAGTCCCTCTTAAGGCCCTGTCATAATCCTTGGGCATAAGTCACCCCCACTTTCCTTCTTAAGGTGAAGTCTAAAAACACAAAATGAAAACATCACTTCCAAAGTCTTGTTTTCAGTCTTTCTAGCTAAAGATACTTACTGGGCTGCGATCTTGATAAATTTTTTTAAGAGTTGAACACGCTTGCTGAGCTGGGAGCACAAGCAAATCTCAGTGACAACCCAGAACTGGATTTCATTAAATCTTCTCAGGAACAGGTCCAAGTTGGCTGTGGTCTTTTTAAAATGGTGCCTTCCAAATGTGTGATAGATTAGCTCCAGCTAGAGAAGCAAGGGAAACAACGTCATTGGTGGTTGGTTTTTAAATCCGGCCAGTTGGCCCTACTTGTTCATTGGCTTCTTGCTTTGGTGGGACAGTCACCGGGACCTCAGTCACCGACTGAGGCGCGGGTGGTTCTGCAGATATGAAGGGCTCCCAGGAATCTCGTGAAATATATGTAGAGAAAGGAAATCTGTCAGCTGACCAAGAAAGACACAAGAAGATACGGAGTTTTCCTTTGCACACAAGGACTTTGTCACACACCTTATCTATAACTTTGGTATGCAAACAAATCATCATGTGGTTTCCATTGCGCCGCACAGAATAACATGTATGGCTAAGCGGGGCCAGTGGGCTTCATTGCCAGGGCACCGCCAATGCCCCCTGAGAGGTGGCCCTTACCTCATGCACACAGTTGAAGAGCTCCCAGTCATAAATCGTCATCTGGTATGCCAGGTCTTTGGAGCTCATCAGTTCAAAAGTTGCCACTGTGCCGACGGTCGGCCCCTCCTGTTCTGCCAGAGGAGTCTGTGGACATGAAGGCAAACGTGGGTCAGAGACATGCAAAGAGACATGCACCTTGTGCTGAACACGGCTGGGAACAGCTCAGAGAAAGTGGCCCGAGAAGCTTTCAAGCCCATCCTGCAATTCTAGTTTCACTCAGAGGAGAAAGACACCCTTGTTCCCAGTATGGCTGGCTTGGGTGTCACCTCCATTGCTGTTGTCAGCATCACCGTTAGATTCAGTGCTGTTGGCAAATGTACAGCATGGTAGTGAAGCTGCTGGGCAGAATGACCTGTGGAGGTTCTCTTGGGACTTACAAGGCCCTTGGGAATTTCTCCCTAGAGAAGCTGAAGGATGTTCTTGGAGACATCTTCTCTCCAGTTTCCCATGGAAGCTCTCCGCACTTGGTACTGCCAAGGCCTTGTGGGGCCGTCATCCTTACACCTGCTGCCTACGGTGCTACTTTTGCTGCATCTCCATCCTCCTGGGGGTAGATGTGGTGAGATATGGAGATGATGAGAGAAGCTGTGGGAGTTGTGTGTGACATCCGACCCCTTGACTCCGTAGCAGGGCTTGAGCTGCGCACAATACTCACCTGGTCCTGGTGTTTAGGGCTGGTTGTTTTAGAAGACAAAATTCTACTATTTTCTGGAAGGCCCTTAGTCAAAAGGTTGTTTTTTTTTTTTAATCTGATGTACTTAGCTCATTGGTCCTTTATGAGAAATGATCTAAAGTAATTTTCCTTAGTAAGTTGAATGATACATATGGGAAATGTATTAATGAGGGTACTTCAACTAGTGCATGGAAAATGGAACAAAAAGGTAACACACATTTCCCACAAACCCTCATTTATTAATTTGTATCTCAGAATCATAAAATTCACAAAAACAACATCAACAATACCTTAATATAGTGCTTATCATTTTGGGAGATTCAATCGGCATATCCTAAGTACTAATATTCTGCACTTTCCATCATCATCATTATCACTCTGACCCTGCGTTCTGTAAACTGTCCCTGCATTTTGAGCACAGCAGTAGTGACTTGTAAGTGTCACTGCATTTGAAAGCCTACAGTCCAAGAGTCCCCTCCGACCAGCATGCAAAGCACTGCCATTCACACCTATCAAGGGACAGACACATCACCATACACCTACCTCCCTGGCATAGAGACAAACAGGGGAAGGAACATGAAGGGGCTTTGGGGAAGTGTTTGAGTATCTGGGATGAACATGCAACTCGGAACAATGTTGAAAAAAGAAGCTGGGTTCCCAAAACAAAGCGGGCAGCTCGGGTGGGATAGAAGAGCTGGCTTGTCCTGAGCACTGAGAATGATGTGGTGTGGGCTCGAGGCTCACAAGGCAGGCAGGAGGTGGGAAGCTGTCAAGAGACTCGTGTGCTGCCAAATGGAGCCCAGAGGAGGCAAGCAGATAGCTTGTGTCGCTGATAGCAAGTCTCCCAGTAGTAGATCAGGAGTCTGGATTTTGTAATAGACCAGACGGTGATCAGGTTAGCGTCCATCTGAGGCAGATACAACCTCTGAGGGGGAACTCTACTTGATCAATGAGGACTTGTACTGACTTCCCAGTATTCTGGCTGTGTCCAGTCCTGGGGTCATCACTGGGATCAAAGCCTGGGTTTGTTACCAGTACAAAATGAAAGTCACTCAAATGCAGTAGGTAAACAGTGCCTGGCACAGAGGTGCTCTTCTCTCCCAATTAGTTCACTTTGGGGATGGGCTCTCTGGCAATGCAGCTAGACAGGAAAGAATGGCCAGCACAGCATCTGCATATCAGAGCTAATTTCGGTATTCCTGAATCACCACAAGCAGGGGATAGGGAATAGAAAAGAAACACAAAGATGCCAAAATTTGAACACGGAAATGACCTGAAACTCATGTGTAAGTAGCTTATGGAAACAGATGAGAGAGGGGTTGCAAGCAGAGCAGGTCTTTGGGCTACCTCTCAGGTTCAGACCAGCTATGTTCTTCCTATCCTCTTGCAGCTGCCACTGTGAGCCCCTCTGCACCTCTGGAAGACCCTCCCTAGCCAACTCAATTCCTTGGGTCACTTTCTCCTCCATTACCTAGTTCCCTATCACGTTCCTAGAGATTGTGACTTGTCAGAGAGGATGAATGAAATCAGTTTACATGCCAGAAAGATTCCAACGCTAAGAGACAGGCAAGGCTTTTGAGTCATGGGTGTGCTGGCCCATCATTCCTGCATCCCTGTGGCAAGCATCACAGCAACCTAGTTGGAGCCTCCTATGTATTCAAGGGAGCAGGGCTCACCAAGCCTCCCTCCCCCTTGGCAAAGGATGAACCTTCCTCCATGAGCCCAGTGACTTGCTGCTCCCTTGGACATGAAGCGGGGTGGGTGTTATATGCTGGCCAGGACCCTGTGCTCATGGATACCCCTGTGAAATATCCCACAGAAGAGGCATGACAATTAAGCAGTCCACTCTGTTCAGGGACCTATGAACCAGGCATGGACTCCCAGGGATCCTACCTCACTCCTCTGTATAGATGACTTCTTTATTAAGGATGGAGAGTGCTGACTGGCAAAATAATGCTATCACCATCCCATTTTCCAGATGTGGCAAGTTAAGGTGTCAGGAGTTTGTGCTGGTTGATGGTCAAAGACAAAGAACTAGCTAAGTTTGGCTGCACCCCTGCAGCCTTCTTTCCTTGGGTTTCCCCAAGCTGTCCCTAATGCTGCAGTGGCCCCTGTCGCACTGGATTCTCCCTGAAGACACACAGATGCTTCCCCACTACACTGAGAGCTCCCTGAGGTATGAGGCCTATGCTGGATTTGGGGAGGTAATCCCAGGACCACAGCTATCCTGGATGCCTGGACTATCATATCAGACACTAAAGAAAAGCCAGAGAAACTCATGGGTGGCTAAGAACAGAACTGAATTCCAGTTCCATGGGATTTTACCCTAATTTGCCTGACACTAACACCGACACTTGAACAAAAGGTCAAGTCTAACTTTGTGGAGAAATTGCTGACCATTGGATCATTCCAGACACTACAGTTAACACCAAAACTTGCTAAAATGTGTTCTATTCCAAGCTGCTGGATTATCCTCATTCCCCTAACTTAACTTTAACTGTGGCAAAGACAGAGGACCTGGGGCACTTGGTCCAGGGTCGCATATAAACTAGCCCAGTGCAAAGCAGACAGCTCATGAGCATGTGCTGTCGGATCCAAGAGTTTGGCTAACATCTAATATCACAAAGTCACTGTCTGTGTGACTCCCTGGACGGCTGTCCTCAAAGGGAATCCTAAGGAGCCAGAGAAAGTGCACTACTGGGGTGAGGAACTTGTTGCAAAGCACATTCTTTCTAAGGACTCAGGCCTTAAAATGGAAGACACAGCAAGGACTAAGAACTTGGAAGGCTGTGGGACTATGCACAAATAAATAGAGGCTTAAAAAGTTAGCGCCTGCCCTCTAGGGAGCTTGTGAGAGGCTACACAGTGCCTCACAAGGCAGTTGAGAACCAGCCGGCAGGCAAGAAAATGTCGAGCTGTGTGGTAAGCATGCCACAGCACGTCATGCCATGCAGCACCCATCCTCATGGTATGTCACAAGGGCACCAGCCCAAAGGGCCTCCGAGGCTGGCATTTCCAGGAGAGGGCAGCATTGTTCATTGACAACTTTTTAAAAATCCCTCAATGCTTGGTGGTTGAAAGAGGTGAGAATGTGTCTGGCAAAGGGAGATGAGGGGAAGGAAGGGAAATGAGCCGGTATAAGATGAAAATCCATGTGCTTTCCTCAGAGGAAACCAGAATGGCAAGGAAGGAAAACAGCTCTACAAAGTCCAATGTGCAGAACCTAGATTTTCCTGAAAGATCTGATTCAATTGAAACGGAAAACTTTGTGGATCATACATGTAGCTTTACTGTCTCCTCAAAATTGTATACAATTTACTTGATCATATTTTTAAATTTGAAATGCATTGCAGGGAGGGAGGGAGACAGGGAAAGAGAGAGGAAGGGAAAGAGAGAGGCAAGGAAAGAGAGATTGAGAGAAATATGTAAAGGACAGAAACCCACCAGCTGGTTCATGCCACTCCTCCTCATATGCCTGTAACCAGCTGGGGTCTGGCCAGGCTGAAGCTGGGAACTGGAACCTCAATGCAGGTCTCTCATGTGAACAGCAGGAGCCCAGTTAGTGAAGACACCACTACTGCCTCCTGGGGTGTGCATCAGTGAGCAAGCTGGGGTCCAGAGCTGTGGTGGGGATTGGAACCCAGGTCCCAGTTGTGGGGTATAGCTGTCCTCACTTCTAGATCACTCACTCACCCCGATGCAGTTCCTCTCTACCAGGGTAATTCACAAGGTTCACGGACAATGGCATTGAAAGTGACATTTATGAGAGTGCAAAAACAATTTTGAAGTCTGTCCACAGTTTTTCAGAAGAGAGTTGCTTGGGTTTTGGAGATCCTTTTCTTAACAGAGATGTCAAAGGTTATGTCCAAAGGCTGAGAAATGAAGTGCCTTTATATTCTGCACTGGCCCCTTAGCCCTTCTAAGGTATTTTAACAGCTACTCACCATCTCCCTGATGTTGATAAAATAAATAGAAACAAATGCATTTATCTGCATAAAAGACAGCAGCCAATTCAAAGATCAGTGTGGGTTGACTATTCCTTTATTCCCAGGGGAAGGGGCTCTTCTCTGGTATTTCCTACACAAGGTACAGAGACAGAGAGAGAGAGAGAGAGAGAGAGAGAGAGAGAGAGAAACAATTCTACATTTCCTTGATATGTTGACTTTTTTTTTTTTGGTAAAGAAGATGATTTCCATCCTGATCTAAGCATTCAGACTTTCAATATTACTATCTACACGGGGTGCATTCAGTGAGGTGAATTACAGCCCAAAGTGCTGAAAGCTGAGTGATGTCCTGATGGGGATGCCACTTGGCTGATTCCCACAAAAGAAAAAGCCAAAGCTCCGAGCATCTCCAGCAAGCACCTGTGCTCACCTACTAGCGCACACAAAGAGAAACAGCCAAGTAGCCTTTCATCACGGCAGCGACCAGGTTGAATGTGACCGCCAAACGCAGCTCTAGACAAGTTCTGCTGATTGCAGACACTGCTCGGAATAGGCCATCCGCACCTACCAGGGAGTCGAACTGCTCGCGCGGGCAGGCAAACAGGCGGCCGTTAATGGTGAGCGTCGTAAACACGGAAATGTCATTAGGCTTGAGCACCACCTTTTCTGTGAACATGAAAAGCAGGAGATTGCCTATTAAACACATCTGAGATTGGCTACATTGCCCTAATCACAGCAACAAACGGCCAGCTTAGGGAATTACCCAGCACGGGCAGACGGACTGCTTAAAATGCAGCACTGAGCGACCCGCTGAATAAGGCAGACACAACTCTCGCACAGCTACACAACACCCAGGATGCCCTCAGCAGAACGGCATCAGAAATACCTGAGGGTCAGTTCACCCAGCTCTGCGCTGCAGCTGTAATTAGCCAGCAAGACCGCACTTGCTACTTATATAACAAATTGTGTTTCTAGACAGTAATAACGCTAGCCAGCACATAGGAGACAGATTGGTTTTGGACAGTACAGGGGGTTTCGGAGGTTTTGAGTTCAAATGCAAATTTTAAATATTTCCCCCACTTCGTTCGTAACTTGGAAGGTGACACTCTGAATTAGATTAAGCCTCATACTAATGTCCTTCAAAGTAGTTCATTCAGTCCTTGTTTACTTGGCATATACTAAGTGCCAGGCACTGCAACCAGGCACTGGGCTTAGAGACAACAAAGAAAGAAAATCCTTGTTGTAGGAAGAGAGGGGGTTAGAGAGCAAGAATAAAGGGAGAGGCTAATGTCTCTAGAAAAGTGCTTCAAAGACAGGGATGAGACAGCCTCAATGAGCCACTGAATGTGGATGACAGCACAAAGGAAGGGAGGCAGGGAGCTGGGAGAGCTGCCAGAAGCAAGAATGGACATCCCAGGACCTGTGCAACTGGGACCCAAGTAGGAGGAACCATGGGAATGACCTAGGCATTTTACAACCCTCCTCCATGGGCCTCATTTGCCTTTCAGCAGGGCACTGGATCGCTCCAGGCACTGTCAACTTTCCTCCAGTCTCCCTATACCATGACTGAACATTCAGGCCATGGCTGGCCATTCAGGCCATGGCTGGCCATTCAGAAAACTCTTGCCCGCATGCACTGTAGATGCTTCTCTACCATCTACTTCTGCCCCACCTACAAGCAGTGAGGTAAGCCATCCTCTCCCACCGCAGCCCATGCACATGGAACAGGTGAATAATGGTGTTTCAGGACACTGTAGAGTCACCAAGATGGACCACAGCAAGAGGAAATATTCCTCCTGTCATCGGACAAGTTGAGCTCCTGCCCTCTCTACCAGCTGAAGAGGGAACCATCTGCAGCAACAAAAGACCAGCCTGTGACCTCCTCCAGGGTCAGACTTGTAGAAATCCGGGCCTTATTGCTGGCCTAGGCAGTCTCCCCCAGGGTGTATGCTACCAGGCCTCCCAGGCCTACAGCTCTTAGTTCAGGTTTATACTCGATAGAATACCAGGCTGACAGGCAACTCAGAACTCACAGTTCCAATCGCCTTGGATAAACCACTTCATCTCTCCGTTCTGCAGCAGGTGCCTTCCAGACAGGGGTCTGAAACACCCAGCCAGCCCTGCACTATTATTCGCCAGCAAGCACATGGCGCCAGGTAACCTTTCTGGGTGAGCCTACAATGGACTTGCAATCACTTGCATGGTTACTGTTTGAAGGTGCTGTCCCATTTTTCAAAAACCCCCAGGTACTATTTAAGGCCGTTACCTCCCCCGGAGCTCATCTTGACGATAATCAGGCCTTCCCCAGAACCCAGCTTGTCAGCAACTGCACTGATGACTTCCTTCACCGAGGCAGCCACCGGCACCCGGATGGTGGTATAGGTGTGGTCCATGCAATAGACCTTAAACAAAACTAGGTAAAGGGGGTCAGAAGGGAGCAAGTTGGATTTGGAGTTCTTAAGAAAACCACAAACTATGCAAAATGCTTACAGCATCTCCCAAATTTGTTCCATCTTGTCATTCTCACTATTGAACATATTTGCACACACCTACACCCAGGCCTATACCCTTCTAAAACTGCTCACTCTAGCATGGGTATAAGAACAGGTGCACAGGTGTTGGCCATCCCCAACCACAAAAACAACAGAGACTTTATGTATAGCCTACAAATAGGCCCTGGGGAAAAACATTAAGTATCTTTAGGCAGATAATCTGGGTCTGTCCTCCCTTTTGAGTATTTCTTTGTCACAATAAAGAGAGGATTATTAAACTCTAGATTGTTGGCCAGATCACCTTGGTCCTGTAGTGTCATGCAGGGCTGGTATCAACCCCGATGCACACAGGCATGGGAGCTCCTGCCCAGATCTTGGCACCTGCTGCCAATGCTGCTCACTTGCCTTACTCTGTGTGCTGTGGGGCCTGGCCACACAGACTAGATGGAACTTAGCCCAATAGACCTTTTATGTAGCATCCACAGGCTCACCTCTGTTCACAGAGACCTGGAAATCAATGGCAACTACTGCACTTCTTAAGGTTGAGGTCCTCCTAACCCACAAGCTTCATCTATGGCTTAACATGACCATGTTATCATCGTTATGATGATTCTTTTGGGTTGGGAATCTTTGGAAAAATTGTAGACAATTTAGCCACAAAAGCCAGCATCTTCCCCTCTGTGATGGTGGCTAAGGAAGCTGCTTAGGGCAGGAGCCTGTGCTTGGGCAGGTATTCTGCTTTCTTCTAAAGTGCCAGCTACCTTCCCACCACTCTTCCTAGGGATCAGTAACCTTGACACCCTCCCCACCATCCCAGATCTTCCACATTCCCCTCCAGGCCTCTGGGGATGTTGGACCAGCTCCTCAGCCCTAGGCATCCTCTCAAATGCCAAAGGGCACCTTGAGAAAAGCTATTCTGTGGGTCCATGGTGTTCCTTCCCATGGGAAAAATTTCATTAACTCTAAATAATGAACATCACGCTATGAGTTGGGAGAAGATTCTCACCCTCATCTGAGCCGCGGATGGGCTGGCGCTTCTGGCTTCGCTCATCGCTTGTGTTGAACTGTTGCAGAAGAACCTTGTGCTGGTAAAAAAAAAAAAAAAGCACAGCAAGTGCATCAGGGACAGGGAGCCAGCCCACTAACATCTCACCGAGAACAATCCGAGACGCAATCAGAGGCATGGCATGAGAGAAGTCACGTTGGGAAATCACGACACACGTACAGCGTTTCTGGAGCACTGACTGTGCAGGCTACAATGAACAGATTCACACCCCACCACTTACTTTCTTTTGTGGAGCTTTGGCATCTTCTGAGCTACGGGAAATAGAGAACACACATCATTTAATAGAACGGTGATTGCTTTTAAAAGGCATTCTTTGTGTATAACTTTTGCTGGTAGAGAGAGAAATCACAGGGTCCCTTCAGTAGGCAGAGTGAGCCTTTGTGTTCTAAGAGACCACAGCATGCAAGAATAGCCGACACACACACACACCCGGCAGAGGCCAGTCCCTGGCAGAACCCTCGTTGATGGCCTAGGATTTTGGCCTTGCCAAGTCTCTCTGGCAGAAGGTTCACTCTCCAGTGTCTAACTGATCACTGAAGATGGCAGAGTGTGAATTCTTCTGTTCTCACAAGAGGACAAAAGTCTCTCCAATAGCTTTGGCAGCAGAAAGTGACCTTTAATTGCAAGGACTAGTCTTTCAAGGTCCCTGATCATTTTCTTGCTGAATTCACTCCTTGGAACTGAAGGGATCCAAGTGTCCTGATTGGGGCTCCCCAAACAAGGGTCTTCTTCCTCAGGCTGCCCTCCTGTGCTCAGTGCAGCCAATAAGACCTAGGTCCTTCAGGACACCTGCGCCAAGGGTACCAGGGTTACTCTGGGACCCACCTCCTAAAATCTAAACACAACATGGTTGCTGAGAGACCAGCTTTAACTCTTCAATATGAACAAAGGACTTAGGGGAAGACATGTTAAGACAAGGAAGGCCCCACAGCCAAGCCCTTCCTTACATTTGCTTGATGATCTTCTCCAATTCTGGAAGTTGCTCCTTTAGGGTGGCAATCACTCGGGCATCATCAGACACAGACACATAAAACTCCTGCAATTGACAAGGGTCACAGGCTTTTAGCAAGAAATGCAAAAAGTGCATGCTGCCACAGAGAGCAGGAAAGACATGCTTCTAACATCATCATTCGCCAACAGCCCAGACCAAGGACTCATGGACTGGAAGGAAAAAGGGCAGAAGAAAATGCTGCCTGATGTCTCAGTTCAAAACTGCAAATGAGAGAAAGTTCTGGAACTAGGCAACAGTGACGATGGCACAACACTGCAAATGTAACAAATGCCATGGAACCACCCATTTAACACATGGTTCAAATGGCATATTTTATATTAAAAGATACTCCTCTCTTATCATAATGAAAAGTTTTACAAAAACTTAAGTTCCAAGTGTATTGTGGATCTATTTGTATGTGAAGCAATGGAAGAAAATGTTTTAGAAAAGGGAATTTTATGTTTTACACCTCAAGGTGACTGTTTTATCTCAGTTTTTCTCAGGGGAATTCTAATACTTATGTTGAATATTATTGATATATTCAACATATGCCACTTGTGTGCCTAGTGAATAGTGGCAAAAATGCAGCTCTGATCTTTCACACAGTTCTGAGTCCAGGCCTCCATGCTGGCTTGCAGGGCACTGGCCTGACCACCCAGCCATGGCAAATGTGCCCTGCCCTGCCAGGAGCCAAGACCTGCACACCCTTGCAGACAGTGGGAACGCTGGCCAGCACTTGGGCTCAGCCATACTGCCTGGAACGGGAAGCATGTTTTTATCCAACACTGTCCATACTACATCAGCTTCCTGCCCCGTGACAACTGACTGATCACCTCTACATAACTGTAATCAGAGCCCATGGTTATGATTTTCCTATTTTTTTTTATTATCACTGCTGTTAATCTCCCACTGTGTGCTGATGTACTGACAGCAGAGGCATGTGCATATAGGAAGATGCCTGGTACACACAGGGTTTGGTGCTTTTCAAGGTTTCCATTTAGGGGCTTTAAGACACATGTGCACAGACCAAGGGCAGTCTCTGTAATTGGGGATTCAATGCCAGGGCCAGTGCTGCCCTGTGGGGCTAGAGAAACAGGAATGAAAACAGAGGCTGAACTTAACAGCAGGGTTTACAAAGCACAGGACACCCTGTTACAAAAATGGTGCAGCCCCTCGCTTCCTGGTCCCAGTAATTCCTCAACAGAAGTAGCTGCTTCCCTCTGCTCATAAAGATCTATCACTCACCTCATAATCCCACACCTACAATCATAACCAAGGACAGACATCAATGTACATCATGGTCACTGCACCAGTATTCTCTGAATGTGAAAACCAATCCCACATGATGGGAACAAACAAATCTATCTGGGACACAGCTACACAACAAAATTGAGCAGTGGGAGACTTTATCTTACAAGACTTTACTGACATGGGGAAAACATCCTTATGTAGGGATGAAGGAGAAAAGGCAGGAGAATGATGGGTTCTATGTGATTACAACTCTAGGAAACCTTGCTAAGGAAAAGAAACCAGATGACAATACATTAAAATGCAACCAGTTATTGAATTAGAGTGGCAGGATAATGGGTGATGTTTTCTGTCAGTTTTCTTAGAGCACCTCTCTGATGAATGAAGATGTTAACAATGTGTAGAATGTACAACGGCACAGTCTCCCCAGGGAATCCGCTGTGCCTATGGGTAGGATCAAGTGTGTTCTTAGAAGGAAGGATCCCCTTGAGCCCCCCACACCCCCACCAGCCACACATACCTCCAGGAAAGCCACGGCCACATCATCCTCCTGGAGAAGGTCTCCATACGTGGCAGCCCACTGAAGAACCAGGCGTATGACTCTCCTCTTGTTGTTGAGGGCATAATCCATTTTCTCCTGTTCAGTACCTTGAGAAGGCTGTGCATGGTAGGTGCCCGGGAGTCAAGGAAGACATTTAGCCATTTCACATACAGCTCATACAGAGTGACAGAAGGCCAGCCTTTTAAAAGATATGATGTCACTCTCAAGAAAAACCTTCACACCAAATGTACGCAAACCTTCACCAGCACCTGATGACTATGATCTGACAGCTGCTAAGTAATTAAACTCATCATTAACTCCCACCTGGACTTGAGTGTGGACAAAGAATCCTGCTATGTCTAGCTCCCACACTCATTTTCTGCCTTGTATTGCCCTTTGTCTCTCTTGTTGTTGCTAGTATAAGGATGCCTTGCCACCTCTTGTTGATTCCCATAATTCTAAATCCCTTTTATTTTATGGATTTCTGGAAAAGCCTGACTTGGCCATCTAGTCCTGCTGAGGCCATGCCCGATACAGTGCCTGGATAAATAAGCAATGCTAGAGTTAGATAAATGCCCAGTGACAAGAGAAGGAAGTTCCTGCTGTATCAATCCTGGGATAAAGGCTTAAGGACACGCCCTTCATGCTTGCTGCTCTTGCTACAGCCACAACCCACCTCCCTGTCAGTTTGTGTACCTGCTTCTTGCCATCCTAGTATAAACCCCTTGAGGCTTGCATTATTTGTATTGTATTCACTACCATGCTTACCCAGTGAATTACATCTAGAACTTTAAAAAATATATTCCTTAATACAGCCACAGTGGTTGCCTATTATAGGGCAAGAATAAAAGCCCCTATTCTTGGTTGATATTCTTGGGATGACATTAGGCAGAACATAGCAGGTGATCAGTAAATATTTTAGAGTAGGTATACCATTCATTTTTCCCCCAGTGATTTATACTAGTACACATTATAAAGAACTAGTTGATGATCAACTTTTCACAATTTACATGGTAACTCATATGCAATAAAACTCTGGTTAATAATTTTGCAATGAGTGTGGCATTTCGTTTCTACAAGGGAACAAACTGGCAGGAAGGGGTATAAAATGGCAGGATTAGGTAGCAAGAGTGCAGAGTTGGCTTTGACCCAGAGATTCCAATGAGTTTTGTTGCCATCATACAACCACCTGGGCCTCACAACTAGGAACAAGACTGGCCTTGCCTTCGCTTACAACCACAACTGGAAAGCACTGCAGAAAAGTGCCTCATGGCAGTGATGTGTTTGAAAGTGAACCCCAGCAAAGGGCCTTTTCTAAAAGGACTATAAATAATTATGATCAAGGTAAATGGCAAAACCTTAAAGCAAAGGTTTACTGCATGTAAATGGGTTACAAAATGGCTTTCATAAATTGAGCACAAGATTCATAAAAAAGAAAATTGCTCAACCAGTATTGCTACAATTCTCACTGAGCTTACAACAACCAAAAAAAAAAAAAAAAAAAGAAAGAAAAAAAAAGGAACAATTGCTTTATGTGAAAATCATTTCTTTTCTGATTAACCCCTTAGTCTCTTGCTTGGAGGCATCTATCATTTGGTCTTCTCTGTAAAGACTAGCAATACTGAGCACTACTTTTACGACCACTTTTTTTTAAAAGTGGAACCAAGAAACTGATTTTCAATCAACTGAACAATATGTAATGGTTCAGCCAAGAATTGGAGGATGTGGGTTTGAATCCTCCTACTGCCAATACCAGGTGATACAATTTTGGGCAAGTCACTCAGCAGCTGTATACCTCCACTTGGTCATCTGTGAAGCAAAGAGGTCACATGATAATTCCCAAATTCTGTCTGAGCTAAGCCAGCCCCCAAGCAAGACGGATCTTAAGAGAAGCCATATGCTGCCTTTTTCGTATGTCACTCTTGTGTTTAAGCTTGTGGTGACCTGCGTGGTGGTACTATGATTTGCAGATGGTTTATCTGTACCAAAAGTCATAGTGAGGCTTAAACCTCAATACAGCAGTCAGGAAGCAGGGCCTTGAAGAGGAATGGCTATTTCCTCATGAGATTAGATTGTTTCTTTTAGGGATGTCTTAGTTCATAAGAAAACCTGGTGGCTTTTAAAATATTCACTCATTAATAAATTTATTTATTAATTCTATTATTTTAGTTAGAAATTTCCATCTGCTGGTTCACTAAGTACCCACAACAGTCAAGGACAGGGCCAGGTCCAACCTAGGAGCCAGGAACTCTATTCTGGTCTCTCACATGGGTGGCAGGAAACCAAACACTTGGACCATCCTCCTCTGCATCTGCATCTGCAGGTGCATTAGCAGGAAGCTGGACTGTAAGTAGCACAGCCAAGACTCTAAACAGCACTCCAGATGGGATGCCAGTGTTGCCCTGCTGGGCCACAACACCAGTCCTTGGGGATGGGTGGTCAGAAGGAGTCATCTCCTTTGTTTCCTCCCTTACTTGGGGAGTGGGCACCTCCTGTCCTTCTACTTTTCTATCATGTATAGGGCAGCATGAAGTTCTTCCGAGCAGCTGAGCAAATGTAGACATCCCATCTTGGACATCTAGCCTTCAAAACCATAAACCTCCTCTCTTTATGAATTACCTAGCTTCAAGCATTCTGTAGTACCAAAAAGTGGATTAAGACAAAGGAACCCTGGCTTGTAGCAGATTTGGCAGGGGACATCTTCTGATTTTTTGTGGGATAGGAGTCAAGAGAAGAAAGTAAGAATGGCTAAAGTGGCGGGGGTCGGGGGGAGGTGGGATCGGGTAGGAGCTAAGGACTGCCAACCTTGATAACTGCATAAGGCAGTGAAAATTTTTAAGCCGGAAGACAATGCATTTTAAAGCCCTTATGACCTGAGCCATGCCCTAATGTCAGCTGCATCATGCTCATTTACCCTGATGCTATTGTGAGTTAATTAGACGGTCGTCACTTTGACAGTGTCAGGTAGGTAGTCCTCACATTAACACTGTCTAGGATTCTTCCTTCCACTCGCATTAGACCTAAGTGAGACTGTATGTGAGAGACAATTTTCCTGATGACCCTACTCTGTAGAACCATGGGCCAATTTAGGTTTTATGATGTCACATCAATTTTGAAAGACTGTTACTTTGTGTCCTGGGTTATTGTGTAAACCTGTGGCTTAAAGATATTGTGCTACACATGCAGTATGAGTATATTTGCATCATTCAAAGATGATAATATCACTCAGATGAATAAAGGTGAGCTCTTACAGTTGGGAAAATAATCCCAAGACAACATGACTGAAGTAAAGATGTGGTTTTCTAGAGGTAAGTCTGTTTTCAAATACATTACCTTTCAAAAACAAGAAATTCAAGTGTTTCACAAGTAGTTGTGTAACAAAACTACTCAACTTGTCTCACCAATTAATAATTAAGAGCTTACTCTTAGTAAGCACCATGCAAGCACATCTGGCTAACAGAGTGGGTATCATTCTTCCCCAATAGCTGAGTTAGTCTTAGGTACATTAGCTAAGGACTTGAAACATTCCACTGGATCACATGTTGAAAAAGTAGAAATGAAATATGAGAGATACAGCAAGAATCTTTTCTACTTGTACGAAGTTGATATGGCTTAAGATATCAAATTAGTATCAAGTGGGTACATTTCTAATGTTCCTTGGTTTGAACTCAAGAAGGAAATGAAACTACTTCATGTTTTAGGTACAGCAATATCAGCGGCACCCACAGGCTCATGAGAAATAGAATCAAATCTCCCTTGTTTCTAGGCCAGGGTGATGATTTTCTGGTCATTCTTTCTGATGTAGAAATTTGTCTTTTGTCCATCACTAAAAAAAAAAAAAAACCCAGAATACACAATTGATTAACATTTCAAACATGTCTAGAGTGTTACAATTTTTAAAGTATGTCCAGTGTGCTCATGTGAACATACAATACTATCAACAGATAAGAAAGAAGATACAGTCATAGATGGACAAATTGAGGTTCTGAGAGGAGAAATTTGCCCCAGAGTGTTCAGGGAGTAAATGGCAGGACTTTCAAACACAGACAAGGCTCTTTCCAGCAACAACACATTCACAGTCCTAAACAGTGGCTATGATGATTAGACATTAATGCTTGGCTCAAGAAATCAGTAAGAATCGTTGCATTTGGGAAGCAAATATCCTTATGGGAAAGAGATTTCTGATTTTTATTTTCTTCTACTGAACTTTCAGGTTTTGCTATCACTGATCCAGCATCTTGAGTATCTAAGGCAGAGTTGAGTGACCCCTGTCCTTGAACAGCTCCTCAGCCTCTTGGGAAATGCACTTGACCAAGCCCAGAGGAACTAGAAGGCATGTGTTTCCATGTATCATGACAGTTAAATTTTTTCCTTCTGGAAAAATAAAAAAGAATTCACTGATTCTGCAAAGTCTTGCCTTATTTCCCTCAAAAACTTTTTATGCATGAAGGTGGAGGTAGAGATCAGACTTCCTTCACAGCACAATGCTGGTCTGTCCTCAAGGATTCTACTCAACAGGAAGCACCCTGTCCTATTCTCCTCAACTGCCTGCTGCACGAACTGTTTAAGCAACACAAAGAGGAATGTATACGGCGTTGATTCTACCTGACGTGGTCACAGGTGAGGGGCTTTTGTCTGTCCCCTCCACAATCTCCCATGCTTTTAGATTGATGAGACCTTTGACTTCTATGAATCTCATTAAAAAAAATGGAGAGAGCAGGAAATCTGTTGCCTTTAGGTAGCAGTCGAAGAATAAAGTCTATTTGAGCAGATTTCTTGTCCCAACAGGTCAAAACTGCAATGGTCAAAATGAAGAATAATATTTCAAATATAGCATGTTTATAAGTTCAAACACTCCAGGAAGGTTGAGGAAAACCCGTCTAGGCAAGAGTGGAATCATGCATGAACTATGTGAGGGAAAAGTGCCAAGAGGAATAAAATTTACGTCCTCTACAGGAAAATAGCAATTTAAAAATGATTATAAACAAGTAAGTATCATGAATATAAGAGATAGTTAACATCGGAAGAGCATTAACTGAAATAAATACTTGGCTCATGCTTATGTGAATGGCAGATAGAAAACATCTAATGATTCTGTCACACATCCAGCAAGGAAAAGTTGTTACTGAA